CTCTGTTAACTGCCCCTATAGCACAGTGGAGAGAATGGAAGGGCAGAGCTTAGAGAAGAAAGCCTCTCATTGGCCAGATGGCACTTATAGAGGTCAGATATGTCCCCCAGGCTCCCATATCTCTATCTACTCATCTCAATGCCAATCTTAACTGCTTTGCTGGGTCCAAGACCTGATTTAATAGCTCACAGTCTATATAGAACCATATTTGGGAAATCCAAGATTGTAATCCAGGTTAATAATAGAATGTAGTCAAAACAGCTCCCAAAATGTGCACACAGACACATCAGTTTCAAGGCTCGTGGCTTCAGGCCAAGGTTCCTAAGTTTTCAGTTCTGTCAATATTAGCTCCCCACCCCCAGTTGTTCAACAAAGGTCTCACTCCTACCAATACTGGTTCTCCCCACCACAAGGTCCCATCTCAAATCAGGTCTCCAGTTTGGCTGTAGGTGTTGCTCCTATAGGTGTAGCAGAAGCAGAAAGGGCATCCTACATTCTTTTGCTTTCTCTTCAATGGTGCCAGAAGATCTGTCTCTCATTCTGGCTTGCTCAATTCAATGGCAAGACTAGTCAATCTCCTTGTGGAATGCTGAGATTAGCCAATCCCCTTGTGGGTAGGCTAACATGCCCCATTTGCATATTCCCGCCCACCCACATCACATAGTCTCTCCTTAATACAATGACTGTATTGTTATTGTGTACAATCAGAAATAACTCATAGCTGACCCTGCAGCAGGTTTTCAGAAGCATGACAGTAGATTTTCCCCAAAACAATGATTACTTCAGCATAAAACAAACAGTTAATCTTTTGGCTAGGAAAGACATTTTGAATGACGAACCTTAGACACTCAGAGTGTCCATGGCTGCCAAATAGAGACCTGAGGTGGAAAACCATGAAAGGCTTTAAGTGGCTCAAAGGTCTCTGACTACCAGAGCCTCACCTGTGGTGACTATATAAACACCCGTTTGGGGGGATAGTTTGGGGAAGAAATGGGCACTCCACTAATAATTATACCAAGGAAAAACTCCAAGACAGTGCTTCTCAAAGATTCCACTAGGAAGGACTTTGGGGTGGTTTTTTTCCCAATCCACCATTGGCAATGTCTCAGTCCTCTGGTGCTACTATAGAAGAATGCACAATCTGATGGCTTAACCAACTGAAACTTATACAGTTTTGTTGTTGTTAGGTCCTCTACAGTTAGCTATGACTCAGAGCAACCCCCTGAACAACAGATCTGAATCTTGCCCTATCCTGCGCAGTCTTCATCCTATCTGATATACTTGAGCCCATCTTCTTAGGAATCTTCCTCTCTTTCTCTGACCCTCCACCTTTTCAAGCATGATATCTTTTTCCAAGGACTGGCCCCTTCTGGCAACACGCCTAAGAAGTGTGTGAGATGAAATTTCACCATCCTTGCCTCTAAGGAGTGCCCTGGTTTCACTTTCTTCAAGGCATATTTCTTTGTTCTTTTGGCAGTCCATGAAATATTCTGTTTGTTTCTTCAACACGACAATTCAATGTCATTCTTTCTTCTTCTGTCATCCATATTTATTGTCTAACTTTCAGATAGGCTCTATGAGGAGAAGTGTGGTGTCAGGATTGGTGGAAGATTCATCAACAATCTGCATTATGCAGATGACACAACCCTGCTTGCTGAAACTGAAGAGGACCTGAAGCACCTGCTGCAGAGGGTCAAGGACTGCAGCCTCCAATATGGATTGAGGCTCAATGTCAAGAAGACAAAGATTCTCACCACTGGACCAATTGGCACCATCAGGATGGATGGTGAAGAGATTGAGATTGTTCAAAGCTTGTTTGCTTGGCTCCACAATCAACACTCTCAGCACCAGCAGCCAGGAAATTAAAAGGCACACTGCCATGGGAAAGTCTGCTGTTAGGGACCTCTTCAAAGTGCTGAAGAACAATGGTGTCTCTCTGGAGACTAAGGTGTGTCTGATACAGGCCATGGTCTTTGCTATCACTTGTTATGCATCAGAGAGTTGGACAGTGACTAAGGAGGATAGAAGGAGAATTGATGCCTTTGAGCTGTAGTGCTGGGGAAGAGTATTGAGGGTACCATGGACTGTTAGGAAAACAAACAGATTCATCCTGGAGAGGGTTAAACTGGGCGGCTCCCTGGAGGCAAGGATTCTGAGGCACCGTCTAACATACTTTGGACATGTTGTAAGGAGGGAGCAGTCTTTGGAGAGGGACATCATGCTTAGCAGGTTGGAGGGACAGGAGGGGAAGACCCTCTATGAGGTGCATTGATTCAGTGACTGGGGTAATCAGGATGGGTGTATCAGAGACAGTGTGATTGGCACAGGCCAGAGCAGAGTTTAGGGCTGTTGTACATAAGGTCGCTATGAGTCACAAGCGACTCAACGGCACATAACAACAACAACACAACTTTCAGATGCATAAGAAGTCATGAAAAATATCATGGCTTAGGAGGCAAGATGTCTGATTTCAGGTGCTAGCTCTAGGGGAAAGCTAGTTCTCTGTCTTCTGGTTCTAAGAGTGTCCCAGCACAGGAATCTGAAGGGCATGCTCAGCTCCCATTCTTCATCACTTCTGGTGGTACTGAGGTAAGTCCCTCTTCTCTGCTAATTTTCCTCCCCTTTTTTCTCATGCGAGATCAAAGGTGGGTAGACTACTCCCCAGGGAAACTCTTTTTACATCAGATTAGGATTGTGATAAGATTAAATCTTGGAGGAAGTACCATCAGGTGTTCTTTAGAGGCAAGGGTAGTGAAACTCCATCTCACATACTCTGGGCAGGTTGTCACAAGGGGTCCTTTAAAAACACCATCATGCTGGGAATAGGGGAGGGTCAATGAAAGAGAACATGACCCTCAATGAGACGGAATACCTCAGTGATTGCAACAATGGGCTGGAGCGAGCTGGGATCCCTTGATAGAGCAGAACTGCCCCCAGGGTTTTCTAGGCTGCCTTCCTGGCCACCAGGTGTTTCTCTTGTGGTCCTCCTGGGTGGATTCAAACCTCCAACCATTGAGTTAGCAGCCAAGCGCTCAACCATTGTGCGACTAGGGCTCCTTAACTAGCTATCCTTCAGTAAAGTTTGTTTTAAATTATTTATTGTCTTCATTCTCTAGTGCTAATATAACAGAGACATGACAAGTGGGTAGCTTTAACAAACAGGAATGTATCCTCACATTTTAGGAAGCTGTAAGTTCAAAGTCAGGGTATTGGCACTAGGGGAAAGTGCTGTGTGTGCCTGTTTCTGTCTGCATCAGCTTCAGGGATGAGAGGCTTGTCTGCTTTCAACACCTGTGTGCCAGTATCACTTGGAGAATGAGATTTCCATGTCTTGGCATTAATCTTCTTCTGGGTCTAGGGAGCTCTGATGGCGCAGTGGTAAGGAGTTGCACTGCCAACTCAAAGGCACAACTTTCAAATCTAGCAGTAGCTCTGAGGGAGAAAGATGGGCACTTTCCTCCCATGCAATCTATTGTTGTTATATAACATCAAGTTGGAACCAGCCCATAGCTAACCCCCAGCGAGTTTTCAGAGGCAGTAAATCACGCAAGAGAATTACTGTGTCAATCACAGTCAATCAACTGATCACAGATCTGACCACATCTGAACCTCAGGGATAAGGATTACACCATTAAATAAATAAACCAAATCACTTCATTACAGAACTGCAAAATTACATCCTTACAGAACTGCCAAATTACATCATTACAGAATTGCCAAATTTCCTCATTACAGAACTGCCAAGTATATGTCATTACAGAGCTGCCAATCACTGAGAATCAGCCAAATGGATACATATTATGACAGTTATCAAATGATCCTTAATATTTCCTAAACACTCTTAATCTGCATTCTTAGCTTTTTGTTGCTGGTTCCTGTTTTGGGCGATGCTTTGAGTCCCTCTTGGTCTAGACTGGAGGAGACAGTGGGTCCCGAGGTGGTATCACTAACCACCTCTTTCTCAAATGGAAAATCCACTGGGAGACAAGCAGCTGCTGGGATTCCTGAGATAGATGGCAAGGTTGTCGTCAGCCATCATTGAGTCAGTGCTAGTTCATGGCAACATCGGAACAAAGTGCTGGTGGTCCTGCACTGCCCCCTGAGATAAGATCACCTAGACCTCTACGGCTGATTCTTTGGCTGATTTGCAGAATTAGATTATTGAGTTTCCCTTCATAATCCCTCTACATCTGGAAGCTCTAACTGAAACCTGTTCAACATTAGAGTAACACATGAGCTTCCCCTGACTGATAGGTGGTGGCTGACACAAGTTGCTCTTCCTGGGAATTGAACCCAGGTCTCCTATATGGAAGACGAGAGTTTTACAGAGTTCCTGTGGGGGCTACAATGATTTGTCTTGTTGAAGGTTTTCCTCCGTTTCATCAATCCTCTATTTTCCAAGCTTGGTATCCTTCTCCAGGAACTGGACCCTCCTGATAACATTCCCAAAGTCCATGAGATGAAGTCTTAACATCCTGGCTTCTAAGGAGAGTTCTGGAAGTCCTTCATACAAGACACGTTTGTGTGTTTTTGGCAGTCTGTAGCATGTTCAATATTCTTTGCCGGCAATGCAGTTGAAAGACATTGATTCTTCTTCAGGCTTCCTTGCTCGCTGTTCAGCTTTCAACAGCAAGATACCAAGGTGACATTTATTGCTGGCTAAGGGTACAGGCCCTGAGGTGGACCTGCCTGTGTGGAGTCCTTCTCACTTTGCAGCTCTGTGACTGAGTCTCACTGTGAGTGTCACATCAGTGGTGTGTGAAGCTCCATAAGGGTGTTTGTCATGCCCTGGGTGGGGGGGGGCGTCGTGGGGGGTGTTTACAAAGGAAAGAGCAGCAGTCCCCAGACTCTAGATTACCTCACACATGCTCTCAGCCATCATGGCCCGCAGCCCCCTCCAGACTGTTTCTGTCAAACCCAGTTTGAGATTCAGTTTTTTAGCATTGTCTCCAAGTCTCCTGAGTTCAAGTCCCACCAAGGGGGCACTGTGGACCCCATGTTCACAGAGCCCCAAGCAAGGGCACAGCCAGGGGCACCAGCAACAGACCCAAGCTTGCAGAATGCACGTGTGTAGAGTCATTCAGTGTCCTGTGGATCCATTCAGTGTAGAAGGGCACACGTGTGTAGACCCCGGGCCGGTTTGGCTTTGCACAGCCAAACCCCCAACTCACGATCCCAATCTGGACCCATGTGTGGTTGATGGAGCACACCAGTGGTCCCCCGGAATCACCCTAAGGAGAGAGGGTGGGTTGGAGTCTAAGGTCATTTGTGTGTTCAAGTTATCAGGGCTGGACAAGAACTCTGACCTTCTGGAGTCTATGGGCTGTGTGGACAGATCTGGGCCACAGTGCATCTCATGAGGCTGGGGGTGCTGGGATGCCCTCACCTGACAGGAGTCTTTCTTGCCTCCCCCATAGCCAGCACAGAGCATGTCATCCTGGATCAACTGCATCCCAGCCAAGCTGGGCTGCTCCAGATGCAGCAGCTGCTCGCAGGTCTCCGAGTCCAGCAATGGTACAGTCACTTCCTGCAGGGTGTCTGCCAGGACTGCACAGAGGGAAGGTCAGCCTGAGTAGCCAACTGAATATATGCCAGGGCTGCACAGAGGGAGGGCCAACCTAATGTGCAGGACCACCTCAGGTCACCAGGTCGCAAGCAGCAAGTGCACTCTAACCACTCTGCTGTCCCCCCACCTTATCTAGCAAGCAGGTCTCTAGCATCCTAGACAGCAAGGGCAGTGAACCTCCAGGATCCTGCCCCCCAAAAGACAAGAACAGAAACTCGCTGCCATCTAGTCCATTCTGATCCTTAGAGGCCCTGCAGGACAGAAACCCTGCTAAGGTTTCCGAGGCTCTGACTCTTCCCAGGAGTAGACCGCTTCATCCTCTTCTCTAAGAGCAACTGATGGATTCGAACCACTGACTGACCTTGGGTTAGCAGTCTGGTGAATCACCCAATACAACACTAGAGTTTCAGCCTCAGCTTATTCATCCTGACAATGGGCTGAACCCAGGACTTCAGCCCCAAACCAGAAAAGCAAGTTGTTCACCCAGACTCCTGGTCACTCCACATGTGTCAAAGTAGATTTGTGGTCCACAGCCTAGAGGCGGACAGCCAGTCCTTTCTTCTGAAGTCTCTCTGGGATTTGTGTGAACTGACAGTCTTTCAGTTAGTTGTTGTTGTTAGGCTCCATTGAGTTGATATGACCCATAGCGACCCTATAAATAACAGATCTAAACTCCATCCTATCCTGTGCTGTCCTCACCACTTCAGAAATGCTCAAGCCCAGCGCTGCTACCCCTGGGCCAGTCCACCCGGTTAAGGGTCTTTCTCTCTTTTACTGACCCTCACCTTTCCAAACATGATGATCTTCTCCAAGGAACAGCCTTTTCTATCAACATGCTCGATATATGAGAGACGAAGCTTTGCTACTTTCAAGGAACACCCTGGCTTAAACTTATGCTCCACCCAGAGACCCCAGACTTTAAACAAGATCAGCCGAGTCCAATACACATGGTCACCTAACCAAGGGCAAAACCAATATCAACTTCCGGGGAGAGCTTGCTGGGCTGGGTACAGACAGGTGAGTCCACCTGACTTACCTCTCTCCTGGGTGGACCCCCAGCCAGTGACCCAACACGAGGTTCCATTGGGAAGAGCAGTTTGGGGTTCTGGGAGGCAGACAGGGGTGGCCTGGGAGGGCTGCACAGGAGTGTCCAGCTGCAGCAGGGCGATGTCCCCACTGAGCCAATTCTGCCTGTACTCTGGGTGGATGATGATTTTGCTGATGGCTGTGATGGTCGTGTTGGGTTCGGTAGGGTAGCGAGACAGCCCTCCGACTTTGATCTGGTAAAACCAGGGGTTGTGGGACCTAAGAGCAGGGACAGCATGTCAGTACCTTGAGGGGGACTGCCGTGGGAGGGGACATGGAAGGAAGGGGAGAAGGAGGAACTATTACTCACTCCAAGAAGCAGTGGGCAGCTGTGAGCACCCAGCGTGGGTGGATGATGGAGCCCCCACAAATGTGTTCCTGCAACCTTGTCCTCAGGCTCACCTGCCATGGCCATCGTCCTGCATGGGCATCCTGGCCACCCACAATCCGCCCAGGATCCCTGGAGTTGCTGCACTCTGAGGAGAGGTGGACACGGATGCAGTGGCCCTTTGCAGCCACACCCTCTACCTTCACTGTCCCTTGCCCAGGACTCACTGGGTCTTACCTGCAGGCAGCACATCCCCTTGGGTCCCTGGAAAAGACATAAGAGTGAGGTCACCACCCTGACAGGGGTGAGAGCAGGAACAAGTGCAATAGCCCAGAATGGCTTTGGGGGCCAGCCTGAAAGGGCCTCCTACATGCTCTAGGGAGGTTCCCTGGTCACTCTGGACTGGGCCCCCTTCAGACCTCACCAAAGTGCCCAGCAGGACCCATTGAGTCTGGAACAGAAGCTGGAGAGACCCAGGCCCCACAGAAGTCCACACAGGAGGGTGAACCATCAGTGGAGCAAGCGGGAGCCACAGAGTGTCCCTTACCACCAGAAAGCTGCAGCAGCAAGATCAGGAGCGAGCCTGCCCAGGGCCCCATGGCAGCTCCTTCCTGCTGAGGTGCTGTTCTGCCAGTGGGTCATAGTCCTTGGATGAGGCTCTATGAAGGGCTTGGTGGCTGTGGCGTCACTAGGGCAATAGAGGGGGCGTGCACCACATCAGGTGTCAGAGAAACTGAAACCCAATTACAGTCTACAAAAGCTTGTCCTGGCCAAGTAATGAGGTGAACAATAATACCAGGGAGGAACGCATACTTTAGCACAATCAACCATCCAAGAGCAAAGGGCAGCATTTGCCCAGGAAGAAAGCTCAGAAGAGATAAAAGAAAGATGAATGGAAACAGGAAATACAGGGAGGAAAAGGGAACAGTGCTGCTCCATTGCAGGGATTATAATCGATGTCATGATGCAAAATGTGTATTAATTACTGAACAGATAATCAGTTTAGTCTGTAAATTTTCATCACAGTAATGTTTTTTAAATTCATTTCAATGAACATTTACAGAGATTTTGGATTTACATTCATTCTTTGTTGTACTTTTCTCCCTGCCCATCCCCCCAACCCCTGTTCACTCTTCTCTTTGAAAAGAAAAAGAAAAATTCCTTCATTTATATACAATTCCCCTGCAGCCCCCCACCCCAAGTATACTCCACTCTGCAACCTTCATTCCAGACTCTTATGATAACCATAATGCCCTAAAATATATTGCTTTTAAACTGTTCTCTCCCTCATCGGTTTCAATGTAGTACACATAATTCATCCAGTTTTTCTCATTCTTACCCTAACCCTGATGTCAGTCCCATTCTACAGCAGTGGCACTATGCAGTATTTGTCCTTTTGTGACTGAGATATTTCACTCAGCATAATGTCCTCCAGGGTCACCCATTTTGAATATATTGCATGAGTTCCTTGTTTTTCAATGCAGCGTAGTATTCCATTGTGTGAATATATCACAGCTTCTCTATCCATTCCTTTGTTGATGGGCACTTAGGTTGTTTCCAACTCCTTGCTATTGTGAACAAAGCCACGATAAACATGGGTGTGCACAGTAACTTTTAAATAATTTATTATGTTCAACAAAAACGCATCTAGGGCAAAGGTGCAAGTTATATAATATACTATTACAAAAAATTAAGGAAAAGTTACATGCAGATAGAATCTTTCTTGGATGGTTACCAGGGATGGGAAAGGAGGATAGAGAGTACAAACTAATAGAGATAAATTGGTTGAAGGGAAAAGTAATACACAAAAAAGGGTTGGTTGATGGTTGCTGCTGTTGTTAGGTGCCATTGAGGCGCCTATGACTCACAGCCACCCTATGAACTGAATCCTTCTCTATCCTGTGCCATCCTCGTCTCTCATATGCCCAAGCCCATTGTTACAGTCACTATGTCAATCAATCTAGTTGAAGAGTTTCTTCTTTCACTGACCCCCTCCACCTTTCCCAAGAACTGGCCCCATCTAACTAAGTGCCCGAAGTATGAGATTCCATTTCACCATCCTTGTCTCTAAGGCACACAATGGTTGTATTTCCTACAATATGGACTTGTTTGTTCCTTTGGCAGTCCACGGGATCTTCAGTACTCTTCTCCAAAACCACAGTTCAAAGGCAGCAATTCTTCTGTCATCTTTATTCATTGTCCAACTCTCAGATGCATACCAAGCAATTTAAAAGATCATGGCTCAGATCAGGCACATCTTCATTTATAAATGGACATTGTTGCTTTTTCAGCAATCTGGAGAGGTCCTTGACAGCAGATTTTTTCCCAATGCAACCTGTCTTTTCATTGTTGTTGTGTACTGTAGAGTAGAAACCAACCCATAGCTGACCCTCCAGCAGGTTTTCAGAGGCAGTTACTCGCACAAGAGGAGATTGTCCATCCTTCTTCTGCAGAGTGGCTGGTAGATTTGAACATCATATCTTTGGGATTGAGCTCTGGTGGCTTAGTGGCAAGAAGCTGCACTACAATCCCAAAGGCACACGGTTCGAGACCATCAGCTACTCCACGGGAGAAGGATGGACAGTCTCATCCCATGCAATTAATTGCCTCTGAAAACCTACTGGAGGATCAGCTATAGGTCAGTTCCAACTCGACAGTATACCACAACAATATCTTTGGGATTGCAGTGCAGCTCTAGGCCACCAGAGCTCTCTAATGTCTTTTGATTAGACATTGTATTTAATTCATTACATTAATTAATGGTAATCAAAGTTAAAAGTTTGAAAGTAGGAGTGGCATCCACCTCCAAAACAGCTTGCTTCCAGAAACTCTATGAACTTAGAGAAATGATGAAAGTTACACAAGTGCTCAGGTCTTTCGTTCATATGACTCAATGACACTTAACAACAAACAACAATTGAAGGTTCCAGTCATTGGGAAATGATATCATGCTGGGAGAAATGGAAAGTCAGAGAAGAAAAGAAGATCCTCAACACGATGGATTGATATGGTGCTGTAGCAATGGTGCAATGCAATGTCTTGCATTGTGGGATAGCGTAGGATAGGGCAAGGGTTAGATCTGTTGTTCATAGAATTGCTGTGAGTCATAGAGCCCTGTTGACCTAGTGGTTAGAAAGTTATACTACCAAGCCAAATGTGGGTGATTTTAATCTGCAGCCCTCAGGACTAAGGTTTTAATTGTTTTTGGTCAAACATTCTTCGAGTGGTATAGCACTGGTCTGTCAGTTTGCTGTATAGAGGTAACTCGTGGTTGCTGTGATGCTAAACACTGTGACACTGATGTGTCAAATGCGCTAATACTTACCCTTAGTGAACAATGTTTGGTGGAGCTCTCAGGTTAAAACAGTCTTGGAAGCAGGAGTGGCATCCACTTCTGAAATAGCTTCCCTCCAGAAACTCTATGAACTTAGAGAAATGAGGAAAGGTATACAAGTGTTCTTTTTTCATAGGATTGCTATGAGTCATCTATGACTCGACTTGCTGGCACTTAACAACAACAACAATTAATGTTAAAAAAACCTGCAAACATTTCAGTGAAAAACCAATATGATTTATAAACCTTCACTTAAATAAGTAATAAATTTGGTGCAGTGTTTCAGTCAAAATGCATTGTTTTTAATAAAATTCTTTTGTTGTTGTTGTTATGTACCATTGAGTCAGAATCAACTCCTAACTGACCGTCCAGCAAGTTTTCAGAAGCTGTAAATTGCACCCCTGTCTCCCACACAGTAGCCAGTAGCTTCGAACAGTATACTTTGGGATTGTTAGTGCAACTCCTTACCACTATGCTACCAGAATGCCCTTATTAAAAAAATACATCTGTAATTAATCACAACATAAAATTATCTTTCGTAAACCAAGCTCACTTGTACCAGTGTATCTGCAAGATTAACATTCTATGCCAATTTACTTTTTGAAACTTCTCACTCCTGAGGGAGCTTTCTCTGGTGGTAAGAAGCTGTGCTGCAATCCAAAGCAATGGGGTTCGATCCACCAGCTGCTCCGTGGGAGAAAGATGAACAATCTCCTTCTGTGTGATTAAACTGCATGTGAAAACCCACTGGAGGATGAGCTAAGCATCAGTTCCAACCTGACAGCAAAAACAACCACAGTTCCTTCCAGTGATCTCTGGTGATCTAGTGTTAAGGAATTGCACTGCCAATCTAAAGGGATGAGCCATTCCATGGGAGAAAAATGGGTACTCTCCTTCTGTGTGATTTAAAATCTCTGAAAACTCATTTGGTCAAGGTTCCAGCTCAATGGTAGTTAATAATAGCGCCTCCCAGTTGGAGCTGTCCTTATAATGCAGTTACACCAATGCTTTGAATTACATTGTCGTCCGTGCATGTGCTATGAGCACATGCTGTTGTTTTCATTTTCGCTGGGTTTTTACAGTCACTAATTTCATCTAATTTTCTTGTGTTTTAGTTAAAATACTGTAGGGATTAGTACTTTTGAAGGCATCTCAATATTTTTTTTGAGATTAAAGTGGTAATTAAAGGAAAAGAAAGAGAAACAAATTTAAGTTACTAATAATGTTGTAAGAATGTTCCGGTGGCCTAGGAGATAAGGAGTTATGCTACCAACTCTAAGGCAAGTGGTTTGAATCTGTCAACTGCTCCTGGGGAGAATGATGGGCAATCTCTTCCTATGAGATTCACAGGCTCCGAAAAACTTGCTGGAGTCTTAGTAATAAGTAAATTCTAACTGGACAGCAATGAACAATAATAATGTTGTATGGGACAATGTTGTCATCCTATGTAGAAAGACTTCACAAAACATTATTGTTCTTAGTTTTCACAACACTGCATAATATGGATATACCTAGAGCACATTACACTAAGTAAAAGAAATCAATCACAAAGGGACTATTATGGTATGAGACCACTATTGTAATAAGCTGAGAAAACGTTTATACACAGTTCTTGACCGGTTACCAGGAATGGAAAGGGAGGAAAAAGGAAGTAAAAATTAATTGATAGTCAAGTTAGGTGAAGGGAAAGGAAATAAACATTTTTATCAGATATTTTAATTCATTAATTACACTGATAAATCATAATTAATGTTATGAAACAAAATGTGTATGGATGATTGAATGAAAATTATTTTTAAACTCTCACTCAAATTTTTTTCATATCTGATTTTTTAAATTTATTAACTTTAATGAAAGTTTACAGAGACTTGGGGTTTCCAGTCACTCATTGTTGTACTTTTCTCCCTGCCCACCCCCTTCCCCCCAATTCACTCTTCTCCTTGAAAAGAAAAAGAAAACCTCTTTCGTTGTTATGCAATCTCTCCCCCCAAGTCCACTCCACAATGCAGTCTTCACTCTGGACTACGGTAATGACAAGAATACCCATTCATATATCCCTTTAAACAGATCTCTCCCTCATCTGTTTCAATGTAATATACCTCATTCCTCCCCTCCTTTTCAGTCGTCTCTCAACCCTGATGTCAGTCCCGTTTTACAACAGTGGTCCTATGCAATATTTGTCCTTTTGTGACTGAGATATTTCACTCACTATAATGTCCTCCAGGGTCATCCATTTTGCATAATAGTTCATGAATTCTTTGTTTT